CTAGGGTGGGCCATTCTAATTCACAGAGAGTATGCAACCTTTGTAGAGTGAGTTTCACCCCATAATTTCCCTTAAAACCCCTCTTAAGATTTTGCAGCATACATTCCAAGGGGTTCAAGGAACTCTGTTTACTTTGTGTGCTTCCCGTGTTCCACCCTAGTTGGTGTTGCACACTTAGGACAAGACTTGCTTTGTCTGTCCCTCTCCAGGCATTCCTTTCACAGGAGAAAATACTCCCACTTGGCAGGCGCATTGGCCCACACCTGTACTCCAGCAGATTGTAAGGCTGAGGAAGGAGGGTCTCGAGTTCAAAGTCAGCCTCAGCAACTTATGGAGCAGTTGTCTCTAAATAAAATATAAAAAAGGGCTACAGATATGGGTCAGTAGTTGAACACCCCTGGGGTTAATCTTTTGTTTAAAATTTTAAAAAAAACCCTCTCAATTACTCAGTGTTTGATTATGTAATGAAGCATCACCCTTACATACTGAAGCCAGGTTTCTAAGGACTTCCTGCATCGCATCTCTGTGGAGATTCTTCTGGGAAGGATCCAACAGAGCCCACTCCTCCTGGGTGAAGTTCACAGCCACATCCTCAAAGAACACTTAATTCTAAAATATTCCAGAAAAGTGTAGTGCAGGGCAGGAGAGACTGACAGCATGAGGATACTATTCTCATCATGTGGGATATTCTCACAACTTTGTGGTCTCCAAATATTTATTTCATGATTTTATCATCAAAACTTGTACTCTTGGTGTGCACTCACTTCCCCAAATGGAAGCACTCCAATATAAGACCTGAACTATCCAAAAAAAAAAAAAAAAAAAAAAGCACCAGCAGAGCAAAAACACCTTCTTCTTGTGGAGTCCAGAAGTCAGGCATGCTCCTGGGTCACCCCTAATGTTTTTGTAGGTGATATCTAATACATGGATTAATGAAGCCTACTACCTCCTGTGCAGAAAACAGTTAATATTAATCCTCCCGACAGCACCTGCCCTTAGAAATGCCTGCTGACAAAGTTGGAATTTTGCTGAGGGGGAGTTAAAAATTTGGAAAGAATCCCACCAAACAAAGCAGTAACACCGACTCATTGTGCTGGGAGTATGCATAAACAACAGGACCTTTACAGAATGTCTGCCTTCCTTCAGAAATATAATTATTTTGTTCCACTCTTATCTGAGAACCTAAAATATCACCCATCTGGAAACACACAAGCAAACAAAAAACCAACTCTGCGCTCAAGGAGACTGGAAGCTGTGTGGTCGAAAACATTTCATACAGGTGGTCACAATGTGTTTATTGGGGATGAGAAAAATTAGAAGGCTGCATCTGTTTGCTCCAGACCAAACCTAACCAACCACCAAGAGGAACAATGATTGATAAACAATAATTTCTAATACTTCTGATAATGTCAAAGAAGGATGGGGTAAGTGAAAGGAGGCATGTGTCTTAGGAATAAATCAATGTCACCAAAGTTCATTTCTTCCACATGCTAGCCTTGCAGAATTTTATAAATTTCCAAAATAGACATTTTAGTGGCCAAGAAAGTAATCTGGCAAGCCTAATAGGCATAAGAACTGTGTAATAATTGTCAACATTGTCTGAATCACAGACTGCCAGCTTTTCTTTTTCACGTAGGGTGACCAAACATATGACACACATATGGGTGCCTATTTTATGAGATTACTTGTGTGTGAGCAGTGGTGCTGGTATAATAAACCTAATGCACTGTCAACTGCAGGATTTGGTAAAGCAACATGCTGGGGAGGTTTGTAGCCCAGGAACCACCGACACCACAGAGCCTAGGTGTGCAAGAGACTGTGCCACCAGGATCATGTGAATAGGGAGTGATGTTGTGCAATCATTTTCTCCTCAAGAACATATCCCTGTATCTAAATGACACGTGATTGTACATAAAGGACTTTCCAATTATGATACTCCAAACAGCACAGAATTAGCAGACAAAGGAAGAAGGAACCAAGAGATAACAAAGTTTTCAGTGGGCTTCCTTTATGGGGAAAGCCGATTGATGACATAACAGGTATTCTAGAGGGGGGAAAATCACAACATGAGCCAAGACAAACCTAATTGTAAAAATACATTTCAGTCCTATTTCACAAATACCATTCTAAGTTCTCACATCAAAGGATATCAAAATACATTAAACGAATTACAAGAGGAAAAACAGTGTAGGAGAAACCTGCAGTACTACGACCTCAGAGAGCCCGGCACAGAGTGAGATGAATAAGTGCATGAGGGAAATGGAGACATCCAGGAGGGGTAAGAACAGGTGAGAGCCACGAGTGGGGAAAGGGACAGCTCTCAGGGAAGAGGAAAGCCCGGGAGGAGGCCAAGCAGGGGAGGCTTGACAACACCTGCAGGACAAGGGCCCTCAGTCAGGGAGAGCAGTGGGGAGACGGGACAGTTGACCCTGCAGCGGTACTGCCTCTCACCTGACGTTTACCATGACCTACAGCCCAGCGAATTTTCAGACTATTTCTACAAGTTCATGATGTTTTTCCTCCAGAAATACTGCCAGTATACCACAGTGAATCTCTCACTTTTTCTCTCTCATACAATATACAAATGCACACACACACATGCACACACACACACACACACACACACACACCACTCAGTGCTTAAAGCATGAGGAGAAAATGCCAAAAGATGGCATTTTTCACTATCCCCAGAGAACTTTATATCCTTTTTGACCCCTAAATTCAGAAGAAACTATTTCCAAAGGCTGAATCACCCAAGATATTATGAGCCAAACCTTCTGGGGAAAGAGAAGCACCCAGCTCCATCTCCCCCTAACTTTTGTTTATGTTCAGGGAGGAGGAAGGGCTGCGCAGTGCTCATGAAGACTGCCTAGGGAGGCCAGCGTGTCCTAAACAGCAGGCCAAGGCACAGTTGACAGAATGGCTCCTCGCCCACAAGACACTTCATCACCAGCAGAATACCTCCATCACCACAGCCTGGAGTCACCCCTGGGCATTTACCAGAAAAAAATAATTGACACCTTCATGTTCCTTAACATGTACACCAGTGTTATCCACACCAAGAATATGTAAGACTGGAGGCTACAAAAGAGAGATTCCCAGGAAGGAGTGCCTGATAACTATCAAGGGAAACTGCCAGTCAGAAGTTTTAGTAAGTTTAAAGCCTAAGGATGTGCCTAACCTCCTATTCAATGTTTGTTAGTGTGATTATGTTGCCCTAAATAATGGAAATAAAGGGATCTTTATTTTAAAAAGAAGTCATGCCAATAAAAATGTCTACAAAAATTGGATGACATTAAGTAGGTTAAATATTGTCTTTACATTTCTAATAACTCTAGCAATTTTAAAGATGTGCATTCCCAAATAACAGCCTTGTTTTCTCTGGCCTTATTATAAAAACAATTTCTCAATTTTCACACCTCCTGGTGAGAGATTATTGATTTCTATCATCTTCATGGTATTCACTGACCTGTTCCAGATTCTGTAACATTTACTTTGCATTAATCTCATTTCAGTACTCACGTCTTTTTGTTTCTCTCTCATAGAAGCACCACCCCCAGAGGACTTTAAAATGTTCTTCCCAAGCCAGACTTTTGTCACAGACCCCTCAACCAACCTGATTTCCCCAAACAAACTCCAAACTGATTACCCAACACCATTCACCCTCTCTCATGTGGAAGAAGCGAGAATGAGCACAGCCATTTTCCTTATAGCATTAATGTCACAAGTGGTTACTATAGACTCAGTCTGAGGCACAGTTAGATTCAATCAAATCCAAGATATTAATGCTTATCACACTATAGTGGCACCCCCCTTTCTCCACAGAAAAGTCTTAACTGGGCTTCTCCAGAAATCTTCACCATGGCTGATTTTAGAACTGTCAGCAAAAGAGTCTCTGCAAAAGAGTTCAGCGTAGGTAAACTTCCTATTTTCATGTTGCCCCTTCTTACTTGGCCATGGCCAGGAAGAAATCAGCATTCCAGGTGCTGGACAGCCCCTTACTAGTTTTTCACAAACATATCCTTTATGACCAAATTTAGGGTCTGACCAGTACAACTGAAGAGGAGGACGTTTATTTGATTGGTTTTTTTTTTTTTTTTATTCAGAGGTCTTAGTCCATAGAAGCCTGGCCAATTCCTCGGGGCTCTAGGTGACACAGAATATTATGGCAGAAGAGTGTGGCAGAGGAAGCAGCTTACACAGTGATCATAAAGCAGACAGAGAGTCTCAATTGGCCAGATACAAATATACACCACAGCCATGCCCCAGTTCCCACCTAATCCAGCCACACCCTACCACTTCAGTAACCACTCAGTTAATCCCTGTCAGGGGATGAAATTGCGGATTTGGGTCAGGAGTCTTACAGCTCAATTATTTCTTCTGTGAAGCTTCATGCACTGGCTCACATGTGAGTTTTGGGGGACACCTCACATCCAAACCATAACAGTACTGGCATAAAAACAGACACATGGACCAATGATACAGATTAGAAGACACAAAGACAAACCCACTTAGATACAGTTACCTGATCCTTGACAAAGGTGCCCAAACCATACACTGGAGAAAACACAACCCCTTTAACCGCTGGTCCTGGGGAAACTGGTCATATATAGAAGAATAAAACTAGACTCTTATCTCTCATCCTGCACAAAGGTCAAATGCAAATAGATCAAAGTCCTGGGAATCAGACCAGAAGCTATGAAATGCCTAGAATAAAATGTAGAGTCCAGGGCAAAGGGCAACAGTGGGCATGATGTGGGAGCCCCAGGCACTGAGGACATGCAATGCCAGGAGACAGGACAGTGGGCAAGGACACAGCATCCAGTACAGTTTCCAAACGAAAACCTCTGCTACACTGATGTAGTATTTGTGCCCAGGGAAGATAAAAGAGGCAAAAGTACTGATTTTAAAAAAACAATATTGCCTTCATCATTTTGTGTCTTCCTTCTTTCTAGGCTGTTCTGAGGGATCACATGTGCACTCGGAGATAGCTGGGCAAGGCAAACATGACTTCTGCAGAGGGGCATGCTACTGAACAAAGTCTGGCAAGTGAGCATACCTGGGTGGGAAGGAAATCCACCTGCTTTCATCTCTAACGCAGCACTGTCCCTTGCTCTGACAGGAGGAGCTTGGGTCAAGATCCACACAATAGCCTAATTTAAAATTGCAGAGGGCAAAGGGAAGGTGTGTAGGTAAGACAGGATCACTTAGGACACCAGAGCATTATGATGGAAGCCTGAGAGCAAAGGAGGATTACCACTGGGGTGGTGACCAGAGCCACATGGTCTGCACTCCTGTCCACATGACACATGCTGCACATGTTGGGGAGCTCACAATGGCTACACTTCAACCATAAGCTTTGATAACTGAAATTGGCTCTACCTAATCATACATTGTGAAATTTAACTTTTAGTTTACAGTAAACATGTTTTTTGTTACATATTAGGAAGCTCACCAGACTACAAATTTAATTTTCATTTATTTATTTGTTTGTTTGTTTATTTATTTGGTGGTGCTTGGTATTGAACCTAGTGCCTCCTGCATGCTAAAAAAGTACTGAACAACAAAGGTACCACCCCAGCCCTACAGGTTTAACTCTGATAGAAGAGATAACATTAACTTTTCACTTTCTGTCTTCCTTTTTATTTTCATAAGGACTTTTAAAGTGATGTTCCAGGTAATTCTTGTCTTTCCACTCACAGGAAAAGTTCACCCACAGTTAAAAAAAAAAACAAAAACAAAAACAAAGGAGGACTCTACCACTACTCACACTCCACAAATACTTCAAGTCAAATTGGAAATACAATTTATTCAAAGCCAGTTTTGAAGGAAGATAGAAAGGTTTATTTGTATTTTTCATTTTCAGATAATTAAAGTGACAGAAAAAACTTCTATAAGAGAAAAGGCAGCAAAGTGAGAAAGAACAGGCAACACACACGTGCAGATTTACTTCCCTGTGCTAGACAGAGCCCAAGTCAGTGACACTCGGCACATGGAGGAGGAGCAGCCCTCTCAGCCCCAAGGAAGTTCAGAGGCAGAGCAACCTGGAAGATGCAGGGGTCACCTCAATTTCAGCCTGTTTCAGGAACTGGAAAGTTACAGGTTTGCTGCCAGCCTTAGGGAGGGGCCAGGCACTGAATGGAAAGTGGACTGGAGACCCATCTTCCTGCAGAGTGTGAACAGGTAAATTCTCTACTCCTGGGAGAAATGAGGGACAGGGACTCTGCATGCCACTGCTGCTTCACATAGAACCCCAACTGAGTCCAGAGTCCCTGATACCTCTCTGTGCTCACTGTACACACTAGGAGACCCAGGAGGCAGGCCAGAGGCTAAGAACACATCATCCTGTCAAGTTCTCAAGGGACCCTTTACCCAAAGTCATTGATGAGGGGTCTGTGTCTAGGGAAGATGAAGGACCAGAAACACAAGCCCATCCCATTCTTCTTATAACATGGGTCCACTTCATGCTTCAAAATAACCCTTCCAGGCCAGGTGCAGTGGCACACGCCTGTAATCCTAATGGCTCGGGAGGCTGAGGCAGGAGGATCACGAGTTCAAAGCCAGCCTCAGCTACAGTGAGGTGCTTAGCAACTCAGTGAGACCCTGTCTCTAAATAAAATTCAAAATAGGGCTGGGGATGTGACTCAGTGGTCAAGCACCTCCAAGTTCAATCCCTGGTACCCACCCCCCCCAAAAAAATAACTCTTCCTACACTTTCACTGTGGTTGTTTTTTTTTTTTTTTAACTGACATTATTTTATCCTTTCTCTTTTCCCTTTTCCCCTCCCTAACCTTGGAGAAGCAAGACTACCCTTCTGCCCATCCTAGGCCATGTTCCCTGTCCTTGAGCACACACACCAGACATCCTCAGGGATGGTGCCAGAAGAACTGAGAAACAGCCATCTACCAAGTCTACGAGTGAATTATGGCCCCCAACAGGGCACAACTGGAATGTGTGTGTGTCTTCCTGAACCACCTCTTTAAAAGTCCGCCATCCCCCCAGCGGGCAGAATCACAGCCTCTGGAACTATAGTCCCCTGTGTTTCTCATTTCAAAGCAAATAATAAACTTCTTTTTCTTTTTTCTCAAACTATGTCCTCATTAGTAGACTGGCATTGGGGGCAAGCAGAAACAAGCTTTTGTAGCGATACCCCCTCCTCCACAGAAAATCTTAACTAAACTTCTCCAGAATTTTCACCATAATTATCTTAGGACTATCAGCAGAAGAATCTCTACAGAAGAGTTCAATGTAGTTAAGCTTCCTATTTCCTGATGCTTTATCTTACAATAATTAAATTTGGCCCCAGGTCTGAAAGATATCAGCACTTCAGGTGCTGAACACCTCTTTACCAGTGTTTCACAAACATTTATAAACTATCTAGTGTGTGTGAAAATATATGTATATTTTTCAAGGGAATTGGGTCTGTGAATGCAGAGTGTGATAAGAAAAACAGAGTCTTTTAACTAGGTCCCTGGCCTTGGGCCAAACTTCACAGAGATGTTTACATTTCAAGAATAAGAGAGGATGTTACCAACTGGGCTCCATGGTCACAGCTGGCAGGGGGAGGAAAGAAAGGGGAGAAGCAGCTCTCCCCTTCTCAGGCGCTGTCCTTGAAGGGTTAACTTTCCCAGCACAGTGAAGGAAAAGCTGCTTTTATGTGAACTTCTGCAGACTGTGAACTTCTGAGCCCCTCCCCTCACACTCTGGATATAAAGTTCTGAAACTACCTGAACTTGGGGTTCAGGGGATTGCTTGATTATAGCAAAAGCTGTGCCCTCTGAACCTGGCTGTAGCCAAATAAAACTGTTTCTTGCTCCCTTCAGTGTCCTGCCTCATCTGCCTCCTACAACACTTTTAATTACAAATTGGAGCCCAATTAAGGGACCACCAACTGCACCAATATCTTGGGCAGGTAGGTACTCTGGGCAAGCCCTTTCATATTGAGGAGGCAAAGCCCCTCAGGCCCTGACAAGAACCTGAGACCAAAGCAGCTTGGCATGCTCCTCACATTCTGTGCCCTGAGCCCAGTGCTGTGCTTTTCCTCTGGCCAGTGGACCTATCTGCTTTCAGCCTGGCTGCTGCCCACAGAGCTGAGGTACAAGGACCTTCTGGAGTCCCCAAGTATGCAGGCACCTGCCACATGGCCCTGCTGGTTTCTGTAGACAGAGGTCCCCAACAATCTCTGTATGGTCAATGTGACCTTCATTAAACAAAGTGCCTTAGACATAAGAAAAAAGTCTTGAGTGGATGGAGGGAATAAACTGACATAAACCCCTCTCAGCTAGGGGACAATGCCTTTAGGGGGTGCCTGGGAGGAACAGAACTCAAGCCAGCTCTGACTGGTTGGCAGACCTGGCAAAGGGATCTTCAAGGAAGCCTAAAGAAGAGCATAGAAAGGGCCTCCTCCACTGAATATCAATATGCCTACTATAAGAAAAGACCCAGAAAGCACCCTGGGTACAACTGACAGTGGGGAGCTCATTTCTAGTGGATGGCTGGTAAGGGATGATGATAAGGGGCACAGGTCAGACCCACCAACATCCTGTGCTCAAACACCTTGAATGCAACATAGGAAAAAGAGATTTAGATACTATCCTCCGCTGCCTCCGACTCCGCCTCCACCTCCACCTCCTTTTTTGATACTATGAATTAAACCAAGGGGCACTTAACTGCTGAGCTACATTCCTGGTCCTTTTTATGTTTCATTTTGAGACAGGGCCTCACAAAGTTGCTTAGGGCCTTGATAAATTGCTGAGGCTGGCCTTCAACTTTGCATCCTCCTGCATTATCTAGGACTCTGGCCTTGGGCTGAACTTCACAGAGATGTTTACATTTCAAGAATAAGAGAGGATGTTACTAATTGGGCTCCATGGTAACAGCTGGCAGGGGGAGGAAAGAAAGGAGAGAAGAAGCTCCCCCCTTCTCAGGTGTTGTCCTTGAAGGGTTAACTTACCTGGCTGGAATTACAGGCATGTGCCACCACACCCAGTCTAGACACTGTTTTTCTATGTGCTGGATTGTTCAATCTCTCTCCTAGGAAAGGACTGGTTTTGTGATTTAAATCCTTTTTGGGTAAGATGGTTATCACACCCAAAATGCAATGATTCCATTTATATGTGCCACCAGCACTCATGCTCTACTTCCAGTTTTGGTCAAGGAAAAGGAAATTACCTGATCTACTGGAGGTCTAGGAAAAAAGTCACTTAGGCTGAAGGGACCTGGAAGCACATTCAATGTTATCCCAACCAAGCTTTTGTTTAGGAGGTGGTAATTCATCCCAGGAAGAAATAACACCCCAACCCTCTTAAGAGAGAAGCACTGATAGCCATCCATTCTCTTCTGGACAAAATTTAAAAACACAGATTGGACTGGTTTTGCCACACCCTATAATGCAACTCTTCAGCACAAAGGTATAAATAATATTGCTTAGGGTATTCAGCCCCCTGTACCAAGTCCACAGACCCTACTGGCTCTGATGCCAGGCAACTAAGGCTGATTCATGATGCTAGATTTAAAGGATATATTCTTTTGCAATCTTCTGAAAGGAAATCCAATTGCTGTTCAGTGGCAGGGACCTGATACCAATGTAATTACTCTTGCTGGACCATCCTACCCCAGGGATTTAAGACTTCTTCTACTGTTTAATGGGAGTCTAACAAAAGACCTGTGAGAGTTATAGCTGGATCAAAGAAGATCATCCACATTTTTTTTTTTAACCAGGGATTGAACCCATGGGCCTTTAACCACTGAGCCACATCTTCAGCCCTTTTTAGATATTTTTTTTAGAGACAGCGTCTCACTGAGTGGCTTAGGTCTTTGCTAAGTTGCTGAGGTTGGCATTGAACTTGTGATCCTCCTGTCTCAGCCTCCCAAGCCACTGGGATTACAGGCATGTGCCACCCTGCCTGGCTTGAACTCTGTTCTTTTAAGGAAGCACCCTGAGCTATGAAAAGGAAGAGAATTTCCAATAGAAATAAAATGTGGGCCTGCACACATCTTTAAATTTTCTAGAAGCCACATAATAATGTTTAAAGGGCCTCAGTTAGCTCAGCCAATTGAGAGTACTTTTCTAGCAAACACACAGCCCTGGGTTCCATCCCTAGCACAAACAAAAGAAAAAAAAAAGAATTAAAAGCACACAGGTGAAATTGATTGTCATTTAAATTTGTAATCAATACAATGAGGTATATTACTTTTAACTATTTGTCTTTTTGGTACTGACACCAAAATTTTGCGATGAGACTAGAATCCCTGAATTGCCAATTTCCTTCTAGTTTCTTATCTCACAACTTTGAACAATCAAATCCACCGGCAGTAAAAGAAGGGAAGAGTAAGTTGAGTAGGCCTTACTTGAGAAGAGAGAGAACTCCTGCAGTGTGGGAGGGACCTGATAGCGGAGGAGAACCCGTGTTTTAGCTGCTAGCTTTGGGGTTTCTATGTGAATGGAAAGAACTGAAGGAAGGAGATCAAGAGAGAGGGGGAGGCTATTCCACAGTGACCCAGGTTTATTCTGGACAAACCTGTTGAGGGAGGTGGGGGGAAACTGAGACTGTTCCACTTCTAGCCAGGGATAGACATTGGGCAGTGGGGGAGAACATTCTAGTGATTAGGCCACTGGCAGGTGTGGTCCTTTTGGTTGGCATCTTTGTTTTTTGAGGTGGTCACTGTTCCACGTTGACCAGGTGTTTTCAGGATTCCAGTCCCAGGTCAATTTCCTTTCCTTGAATGGTGATGGAGTACTGTCTAGAGTTCAGGTCAGCCTGAGTCAGAGTGACCATGAGTTGACCCCATTCTAAGATGAAGGATGGTTCAAAACGACATTGCCTGTATCAAGTGCGACCTAACATTCCTGCTTCTGTCTTTTCCTTTGATAAGTCAGAACAGCAACACCAATAATTATAGAGAAAATTGAGAAAATTGGCCTATTCCAGTCCAGTGGGTGAAGAAACAGATGTAAGAATTATTTCTGCATAGGAGGAAGATTCCCTGATTAGAGTCGAGATCCCAGAGAGGTGATAGGAGAAAATTTACTTTAACTGGAGGCAGGGTTTTGTAGGATTTTTTTTTGGGGGGGGGGTACTGTGGATTGATCTCAGGGGCACTTGACCATAAAGTCACATTCCCAGCCCTATTTTGTATTTCTTTAGAGACAGGGTCTCCCTGAGTTGCCAAGTGCCTCACTTTTGCTGAGCCTGGCTTTGAACTAACCATCCTCCTGCCTCAGCCTCCTGAGCCACTGGGATTAAATTTGTGTGCCACTGTGCCTGGTTTATAGGAAAATTTTAACAAGTGTGTGATGGGTGGCTGTGGTGGTATTGGAGGCGTCCCACTCTGTGTTTGACACCTCAGGGAGGAGCGCTGGAATGGATGTTAGAGCATCTGCTAAAGGAGACAGAGGAGTGGGCAATTATGCTGGGAATTAAAATGAATGGAAGCCTTGAAAGAGGTTAGGATGTGCCTGCCAAAGAGAGGAGCTGGGCATCCAAGTGTTTGTGGGGGCCTTTTAGTACAGCAGCCATAATGAAATGTAAAGAAAAAAAATGTTAAAAAAAAAATCAAAATGTAGGGTTTTAATCTGGGTGGTGAGATCCCATTCTTGGAGGTCCCCATTTCTATCTTCCTACAGATAATCAGTCTCCTGCCTCAATCACTCCTCTGAACAGTTAACCTCCTGATGGGGATTAACTGAGTGGTAACTGAAGTGGTAGGGTGCCGCTGGAGGAGGTGGGAATCAGGGACAGAACTGTGGGATATATATCTGTACCTGGCAAGTGGAGAGTTCTCCCTGCTTCCTGATCACCATGTGAGCTGCTTCCCTGCCACATCCTTCTGCCATGCTGAGCTGCCTCACCTAAAGCCCTGAGGAATGCAGCAGCCTTCTATGGACTAAGGCCTCTGAAACCATGAGCCCCCAGATAAACTTTTCCTCCTCTCCAATTGTGCTGGTCGGGTCTTTCAGTCACAGTAGCAAAAGAGTCAGCTAAACAGTGGTGGGCAGGTGAAGGTACTAGGGAATATGAGGTTGGGATGATGCC